TCACTTCTCATTATATGCTTCTATGTAGAACCAAAGCATCACAGATAGAAGGAAACTAGAAGCATTCAATCCAACTTTCCTATTACACTAAAAGCTCAAGAATATCGAAAGCAAAGTTCAAAATTCCGCTACTCCTAATAGAAGATCACACTAAAGAACCTGAATTTTGCAGTAATCCTCAGATATAGAAAGCAAATGATCCAATTCTAAGCCAACACATATCGAAAAATCACTCGAAATTTACCCGTGGGACGAGGATAAACTTCAGGATCCAAAGCTTGACCACCATTAGAAGGATGATAAGTTAAGAACAGAGCATGAGGAGTTATAGCATTTGCTTCTTTAGGTTCCAGTACAATGCTATGAGCTTTAGTACCATAAACCCTAAAAATCGAAGACAACATCTCAAATCTACCCGACCATGGACCCATCGCAAGAACCACCGCGTCAGTATCAATAACTCGCCCACCTTCAAGCAAAACCGAGTCAACTCGCCCTAATTCCACTCTCACCTCTTCCAATTTTCCGATCACAACCTCAACACCGTATTTCTTCGTCGCCGTCGATAACAGTTTCCGAGTGAATAACTGAGGATGCACTTGTGCTGTGGTTTCAGTCGTACCAATCGTCGATGGGCTTTTAACCGGACCGTCGATCCACGCCGGTAAATCAGAACCACCGGAGATGGGTTTCGACGATTCCTTCACGGTGAGGCTAAGAGTTGTGACTGGTCTGTATCCGTACGACTCGACACCGTTTAGCTCCTCAGCGAGAGATCTATGGAGGTTAAAGCTCGCGCGAGCTAAAGGAGAAACTGGGCTTCCATCGCACCAATCGAAAGCGAGGAATCCACCGGATTTACCGGAAGCGGCGCACGCGACGGCTGATTTCTCGACGAGAGTGACGGCGATTCCTTTTTTGGCGAGGAAATACGCCGTGCAGACGCCAATTACGCCTCCGCCGCAGACAACGACACGCTTCGATGTTTGTCCATCGCTTATGTACTTCTTCGTCGCCATTGATTCCGATGTGTTGTTGGAGCAGATCGTGATTGATCGTCGGAGAAATGACGACGGAGGGAATAATAACGATGAGATCACCGCCATTAGCGAGATGAGGTGTATCAGTCGCCGAGTCCACACATTATTTATTGGGCCTAATTTATTTTTTGGGTGATTGTTTAAAAGCCCATTTATTATCTTCCTAAATAGATTAGGTAATGGAATACCTATGGGGATATTAATCTAAATTTGTTCCATTCACATTTGGATGTATATATTAATTTGTTAGACTAGAGACAAAGTAACCTCAATCAGTTTGTGGCAAAAGTCTGGACCTTTACCAAAGCTGCATATGTACTGTACATGTAGAGTTTGTATAGAAAAATACGATCAGACACATAAACAGAGAGCTTGAATTAGTCAAAGTCCAAAAAATGGGGACGAATTGTTAATTAAGGGGTAAAGTGAATAAATAACTGAGCTTGGCTAATTCAGCTTTGTTTATTAGATGGAAAACAAAAGGGACAAGTGAACAACTAATGTTAAAATGCAATTGGCCTTTGTTTTACGTAACCAAATCTATTATATAGTTATAGAGTTTTCTCTCCATTTACATTGTCCATATAGGCAAAACTATTTTTGAAAACATTTAAGTTTTTAAAAAAACTAGATGATTACCCGCTCTACGCGCGTGCTTTTTTTTAGTTATAAGCCTATCATAATTCACATTTATCAAATTATCTAATATATCATATTTGGATCTATTATTATATTTTGACGTTGTTGGAGTTTGTTTCTTTTTCGATTGATTGTCTTAGAGCCAACAAAACACATATTTCTTGATTAAGTGGCATAGAAAGTTTGTGATCTTTGTAAAGTACTTTGTTTTGGTATTTGAATTCAACGAAGCCGCTTATGATGGCAAACCTTCCTCTCTACCTCTCCTTCGGCATCGACTCATCAACATCCTCTATACCAATGACCTTTGCAACAATTTTCACTTCACGTTGTATTCATGCTCTCTCTGGCAAAAAAAAGAAGAGATGGCTCTCAATTAGAAAAAGAAAATAAACATTTATCAATTGCTTTTACAATAAAGAATGGGTTTATTGATTAAGACACTAAATACATGAATAAAATAAGGTATTTTAAACAAAAACTTTTGGAGACAGTGGTGAGTTTGTGATCCGTTTTGATTCATGAAACTAATGCTAATGTAAATATTAGTATCTAGGTCCGTACTGTCACTTTTCTTCTGGATATATAGGTTTTAGCAACTCCCAACACCATAATTACGGATACACATCTAAAACGTGAAAGACATATATTTCTATAGTGGCTAGGAGAAGATAACCAGTTGGTGAAGCAAAGAGACAACAAACTAAATGAGTGAATATTGGGCAATTAATATTTCTGCGTACCCAAACGTTTCTTTTCAATTTTATAAAACAAACACAAACAAATTAAAGTAAAGAAGTTAAATATACATTTGATGGTATAAGTACATCCAAAATACCTAAATCATATACTAGTACATGCTAATTATGAAAAGAAAATGATAATTAACAAACGTAAAACTTGCTATAAATGAGAAAGAACAATATCTCTTGCAGTTGCACTCTTCCACAAAGTGATTAACGCGTCACAAATGCATGGATATGATTTCAACACTCTTGGCTTTTCCCTGTAAATTAGAAAGTTGGAAAGCAAAATTTAAATCCAAACTAATGTTTTTTTAGAGAAACCATACGTAGACACCTCCTAACTTAGATAACCACATTTCTTGTCTTCCTCAACCTTTTAGACAGTAAACTTTAGCATGTTCAATCTCCTGAATTTACAACACTACTAAAGCGAAAATCAAAGCCAACGAATTTTGTAGTTTTTATTCGAAAATGTACATCAATACGCCAACAAATTTTCAATATTAAGTTCTTATTCGGGCTTCATAGTTAACATCCACTGCAAAAATCTACTTTATAATCCTATAGCCTATTTTAGCTATAAAATTATAGATCGATCCCACGTCCCAAACATAACTAATAAATATCAAAAAGACAAATATAAAGACGACACCTTTCGAAGATGAAAGAAGCAATCCCAAACTACAAACCCAACTTTAGTCGCACCGACAAAAACAAGAAAAGCTTGGTTTCAGCGACTATCAACCGAGCTCGTGCCGTACGAATTACTGGCTGGTCGATAATAGTCAATTGCTTTGTATACGCATTCGCAAACATTCAAAAGCACTATAAGATTCGAGACCGTTAAACAAAAAACCATTGAAATTACATGTTGGTGCATGTGGCTTGCTAGAGGTGGATAAGGAAAAAATTGGGCGCAGGTCAGAATCTAGTAACCTTTAATTTCGCTCAAAAATTTACTAAACCAGGTTATGGAGAAAATGATTAACACTAAACTTGCCATTGTTTTACTCATTTGGGCTAAAATGTGGCTAATAAGTCCATCACAGACAAATAGTTAGGCCCAAAATGTGAATACGCACCGTTCTAATGGCGAGCAAAAAAGCAAAGGCAACGCACCATCTTCTGTCTTCTTTCCTGTAATGGAATCGTTTCAAAATCGTCCCTTTTCCGGTTATGTTGTAATTTGATCTACTCTCTCTATACATGCCCTTTTCACTTTGTTTGTGTTTTTGTGTTTCTATTAGCTAGCTTTCATCATATTAGGTCTCTTTGTGTACTGGCTCACTAAGAAGATTAGACATTATTTTAGGTTGCACACCACTCCTGGAATGGATTTAGATGTCGCAGGGTGTTCCTAATCCTAGTCTAGCTCCTGTTAGACAGGAAGATTTTGCATTCATTTTTATCTGCTTGGAACCCTTTGCCAATGATTCTCCATTGGCTAATACAGTGTGTGGACATACTTTCCACTTACATTGTATTAGCCAATTGACGTCTAATAGCTGTCCTACATGTAGGAGTCCTTTAGCTTAGTGAAATCAATGTATTGTACTCATTTCTCATTCAATATTCAATAATGTAATGTGTGACAAAATCTAATAAATACGTATTGATGCCTATGTATCTTCTTAGTTCACGCGACTTATATCTCGTGAGAAACACGCTTCTGCTCATGCTCCCTGTCCGTACGATTGCGACAAATATGTTTCTAGATCGTATTGTGATGATTACGCTATTCTCTTGTGTAGCGAATTGAATATTCGTCGTTCCTTTAAACTAGATTTATGCCGCGCGCTTTTAGTTTTACTCTGCTAACAATATGAATCATTGAATAAAAATATTATCACTTTTGTTTTAAAAGATAAAAT